ACTGTCACTTCATCAATAAAAAGATAAAATTAATATAAAAATAAAAATTTAATAAAAATTTAAAGATAATTTTAATATTTTTTTGAAATATAAAGATAAATTTAATATAAATTTAAAAAGGTTAAAACCTCATTTTGGTCCCTTAACTATTGTATGGACCTCTGATTTAGTCCCTGAACTAAAAAAATCCTTGATTTGGTCTCTACTGTTTACCATTTTGACCCCGATTTAGTCCTTCCGTTAAAAATTGATTGACGTATCCCATTACTGACAGAAAAAGATGACAGCATGGCAAAAAACCAATGACATGGCAAAAAAAACCTTAAAATATTTCCTTTCCCCTTTTTTTCTTTTTTTCTTCCTTTGATTTTCCTTTTTTCCCTTTCATCTTCTTCCTTTCCTTTTGCCTTCTGCAAACCCTAACACCTTCTAACATTAAATCAAAAAATAATACAAACCTAGAATCTCCTCAAACCAATCACCGTCCTAAATTCTTTCTTTCAACCTCCCCAAAAAAACTTAGAAATATCAAGGCATATTTTTCCAAAATTCAAGCTTCTAAACATAAATATTAAAAAAAAAAAAAGCGAACCCTGAAGATCACTGGGTTCTTGATCGAACCCAGTGATCTGCTGGGTTCTCAAGAACCCAACGATCTGCTGGGTTCGATAATCATAAGTAGCCATATGGGCAAATTTTTTCTCTCAACCAATTTTTGCCAAATTCTCAATGAGAACAGCCCACACAAACAAAATATTCACTAGCAAAATAATCAGCTGCAACCCAAAAATATCCCTAAAATTCAAGCTTCTAAACATAAATATTTAAAAAAAAAAATCAAACCTAGCAAATCGAGAACCCAGTAGATCGTTGGGAATCAAACCCAGTAGATCGAAGAACCCAGCACACTTGGGTTCCTTGCGAACCCAGGCGCTAGGTTCGCAAGGAACCGAACCCAAGCGTGCTGGGTTCCATTGAACCTAAGCATGCTGGGTTCGATGCGAACCCAAGCATGCGTGTTGGGTTCGGGCGCTGGGTTTGCAAGGAATCCAGCGCCTGGGTGGGTTCGAAGGAACCCAGGCCTGTTGGGTTCCGAGGGCAAAGAGAAGGGAAAAGGGAAGGGGAAGGAGAAAGAGAAAGGGAAAAGAGAAGGAGAAAGAAAAAACAAAAAAAGAAAAAAAATTTTAAGTTTTATTTTTCATAATATTTTTTTATATTATTATTTTTTCCACATCATCACTTTTTGGCTATATTATCTTCCACGTGGATTACTATATGACATGTCATTTGGTAACCATGAAGTAACAGGCCACGTCACACAATTTTTAACGGAAGGACCAAATCGAGGTAAAAATAGTAAATAGTAAGGACCAAATCGGGAGTCTGTACAATAATTCAGAGACCAAAAAGGGGTTTTAACCTATTATATATCATATAATTATAAATTTGTCATTTTAAGTGATATTACTTTTTATATTAAACTTTCAAAATTTTAAAGTTATATTAGTATCAACTGATTTAAAATTAAATCAAAATGAATCAGATAAATTTTTTTTTAATATCTATTACTGTATTTATTAAATTTAAATTTAAGATTTTATTTAAATAAGATTTTTACCTAAATATATGATTGTATTTTATTTAAACTTTATTTTAATCAAAAAATTAAATGATCAAATAACTCAAAATTCCTGCTCAAGTGTCAAATCTCGTCATATGCATGACATGGCAATATTTTGCCATCCAAGCAGCTAAGCAGTCGTGTCCCCAAACGGCAGTTAAGCCAGGTGACGGAGTCCCAAACGACAGTTAAGTTGGCGTAAGAAGAAGGGCTTAATTGCTTTGATCCTAGAGTTCAAAGGCTTATATGTGTCAATTAAAATCTAAGGGCTTAATAGCGATTCTGGGATTAGTTCAAGGGCTTAACTTATGGTTTTGCCGAAACTATTTTGGTGCCATCTAGAGGACGATGGAAGTTGGGGTGGGCACAAAACCCGCAACCGATCGAGCCATCGACAACCGACCCGAAAAAATGGTATTCAGTTCGGGCTTAACAAGCTTCGGGCTCAAATGTTCTGTTTCGGGCTTGGCCCGATCTTAAACAGGTCGATGTTCGGTTGCTAATCCAAAAACCGATCAACCGAATAAGAAATATATATAAATATATTTTCACTCCCTTCTCTAAAACCTAACCCTAACCCTCTCCCTTTCAATAAAATTTTCTTTCCCTCCTCGCCCAAATCTAGATCTGCCACCTGCCTTCCATAGATAAAAAAAATTTCATCTACGCCAAATCCAATCTTTAATCTTCCATTTTTTTTTCTTGTTCTTTAGCCGCTTTTCACTTTCTGTTCTATGCTTCTATTTCTTCTCCAATTCTTGTTCTTCTCTTTTATTAATCTCACAAGCTCTATAGCTCACTCTTTCTCTATATTTCTCTTTTTAATCTCCATCTTCCTACAAGTTTTATAACTTGAAAGCCCAATCTCCTTCATCCCAAAAAGGTGGAAGATGTAACCATAGGATCTTGCCGGATCAATAGCGTCTCATCGTCGCCGACAAGCAACTCAAAGATGGTCAGACCTTATCCGAATGCAGTATCCAAAACGGTCAAAATCTTGTCTTTGATTTTTACAGTTGTGCTTAGAATTTTTTTTTTTTTTTTATGGAAAAGATTGGATTAGAATTTAAAATGGGATTTCTTTACTTTTGCATTGGTGTTAACAACCTTGAGATGGCAGAAATTGAGATATGCTTGAACGACTTTTGATTGTTTTTTGGATTTGGCACTTGAGAAATGTGATAGCTTTGGATATTTATTTGGATCAAAAAATTGAAGAAAATGGATCATCATACATCGTAGGAAATTTGGGCCACAAAAATGGAAGGCCCAAACCCAAGAAAGTCTAAGGCTAGAATTGGTAAAAAAACCGAGATCGATACCAACGGAACCGATTAATTCAATTACAAAATTGAATAATCGAAATATTATCGGTTCGGTTATTAATTATTATTTTACAAAATAATCAACCGATAAAAACCATCAATTTAAATTCGATTTCAAGTTTTCAACCAAACCAAATCGGTGCCCACCCCTGGGTGGAAGACCTCTCGCCATTTTCCGTTTTCCACAAGTTCTCCCCATTTGTCACATCATCATTATTTCTGACATATTTCTTAAAAGTAAAACATTTCGTCAAGCTAATTGGGATTATTGTTGACCAACCAGGCCTGAGGCCCAATGGTTGGTCCCCAAGCCTTAGGGCTTGGGTGAGGTGGAGGTCAGGGCTTCGAGCCCTGCCACCGCCGTGAACTCCACCAACTTGCAATCTAATGGTCGCGCCTCTCATATGAGGGGGTGGAACGTTCACTATCCTAGAAAAATTCCAGCTGCTAACAAACTAACTCTACTAACTTCCTAACCATCTACCTGGTAAAAAAAAATTGGAATTATTGTTGAGACATATAATATTTTATTACTATTGTGAAAATATCATCAAATTAATTTTAATTGGTAAAAAAATATTATTATTTTTAAGCTTTAAAATTGAAACATAGCACATTTTAATTGACTAATTATTTTTTTATAATTATATCTTTATTTATTAAAGAAAAAATACTTATTAGTTTGTTAAATAGCATTTAAAAATATAAATTTATTAATTAATTTGAATTTGTTAAGTAATAAATATAATTAATTATTAACTAATAATTATAATTATTAATTATTTTTATTAATTAAATTAAATTAAAC